ATGTTGGGGTATGTAATCTGTAATCTGTAGGGGAGTAACCTTCCCAACACTGTCAATATTTGTGTGGTACTGAACATTTTCAAGCACATTTGTGATATATTTGTATTTGTGATGTATACTTTGCAGTCACATCACGCTGGGGGTGTCCTACATGCATCTGTATCTGATGAAATATTCAACATTTACCACAGTGGCACAATGAAGATATCAGCAAACACAGTCAGAAAAAAAGTTGTAAAATCAATACGAGTGTTCATGGTCCAGGTTAGGTGCAATTTTATGTGTGAGAGACTTTAACTTTAACAGCACAAACTAACTCACCTGCAGTCAGTGGTGTAGTGGGGATTTTTTTAAGTGAGTACGCGATTCGTGACGTCATCGATGATGTCCCCAATCATTTCCGAATTGGATATTTTGCCAGCAATGGTCAATACAGAGAATGTCATACACGAAGATCAGAGCAAGTACCAACATGAGAACGTGTCGCTGCATAGTGAGTCAAAATTGGGGGTGTGTACCTATGTTCAAACACCGGGACCTGCACGCTCAGAGAGGTCCCAGAGGTGTTCCCCGTGTTCACGTAGCAACCAGCATTTGTTAATTTTAGGCTATTAATTAACCAAATAACGGACGGACTGCTCAGAACAATATATAGCCAACCAACTGGATTCACGCTTCTGTCCAGACGCTTTGCACCACCTCGGAACCAGAACCCAGAGCCCGCGGAGCAGCGTGTCCACAAAGTGCAATGGGGCGACGGCTGCACTTAGCCCTGGGTGATCACAGTCCTTTTGCCTGTGGTCACCCGACAGTCTACGTGGGTGCACCTCCAGGCCCAGCCTAACACTCAGTCCTGGTTAGGTCTTGGTTTAGTCCTGGTTTTGCCCTGGTTTAGTCCTGGATTAGTCCTGGATTAGTCCTGTTTTAGTCCTGGTTTAGCTCTGGTTTAGCTCTGGTTTAGCCCTGGTTTAGTCCTGGTTAAGCCCTGGTTTAGTCCTGGTTTAGTCCTGATTTAGTCCGGGTTTAGTCCTGATTTAGTCCTGGTTTAGTCCTGGTTAAGCCCTGGTTTAGTCCTGGTTTAGTCCTGGTTAAGCCCTGGTTAAGCCCTGGTTTAGTCCTGGTTTAGCCCTGATTTAGTCCTGGTTTAGTCCTGGTTTAGTCCTGGTTAAGCCCTGGTTAAGCCCTGGTTTAGTCCTGGTTTAGCTCTGGTTTAGCCCTGGTTTAGTCCAGTTTTAGTCCTGTTTTAGTCCTGTTTTAGTATTGGTTCTGTCCTGGTTTAGCCCTGATTTAGTCCTGATTTAGTCCTGGTTTAGTCCTGGTTTAGCCCTGGTTTAGTCCTGTTTTAGTCCTGGTTTAGTCCTGGTTTAGTCCTGGTTTAGTCCTGGTTTAGCCCTGGTTTAGTCCTGTTTTAGTCCTGGTTTAGTCCTGGTTTAGTCCTGGTTTAGTCCTGGTTTAGTCCTGGTTTAGTCCTGGTTTAGCCCTGGTTTAGCCCTGGTTTAGCCCTGGTTTAGCCCTGGTTTAGTCCTGGTTTAGTCCTGGTTTAGTCTCTGCAGGTTGTTTTCACCATTACCAGTAGCTCCAGCTTGACATTTAAGTTATAGCTATTTTATATTTGTTTGTTTTTTTGTTTGTTTTTTTATATCTCACGTCGGCAGAAGTGTGGGTGGACGGTGTACCCCCTTGTACCACGCCTACTACACCCCTGCCTGCGGTTATTTCATTAAACTCAGATTGTGTGAGGCTCAGGTTAAATTCAGGTTAACGCTCAGTAAGTCTCGGGTTAAGTAAGGCTCAGGTTAAAGTCTAACAAGCCTCAGACCTCCCACCAAATGTTGACGACTTCAGGTGCAAAGTATCAACTGCTAGAATATCGTTATCAGGATAATGCCCCCCACCCCAAACTTTACTTTACGCAGCTTCCTCCCGACTCAAAGTATTTGCAAATCTGGAGGTGCAGAGGTGGAGCATTCAGGGCTGAAGAACATGTTTATCGATCACAGTGAGGATAAATCAGGAAGCAATTCAAGGCACAGAGAGGCCGAGGTAATACCGGTCTGCTGACAATAGACCTGGTAATACAACGCCTTTATTACCCTCTGGCTCCATAAAATCAAATAAGCTTCATCCACAGAGCAGAGAGCGGACTGCACACTCGAAAGGTCCTCAAGATGTCGACCAGTATTTACATTAAAGCTTCCATATTACACAGGATTGACTTATGTGAGTTTTTAGTGGTGTTGGTATGTTGTTACGTCATCAAAAACAGACCTAGAGTTGTGTATACATCTGTCTACATCTCTGTCTTAAACGCTGTGATCCACCTTGTGATGTCGTGAAGCAGTAGTTTTCCAGTTAGCGCCGATGTTTTTTTGGTTTGTTTCTTTTTCAGTTATTTCAATTAGTTTATTAATTAGCAGTGTTGGGCATGTTAGTCTGAAAAAGTAATTAGATATAGTTACTAGTTACTCAGTTAGTGACCGAGTTACTCCACTATAAAAGTAAATGGTAAATAATAGGGAAAGTAACTATTGCATTACTTTTTTTTTGTTTTTTTAACGGCGCACTCACACTAGGTCTTTAGAACGATGCCAAGTTCAATTGCTGTGAGTTCTAATGTTCTGCACTCACACCTGCACAACCGAACCGAGCTACAGCCAATGACGTCATCACGTAGTGCTGTTTGTTTACATGTGACAGCTGTGAGCTTATTCTCTGTGTTTTTAAAGTTTCATTCATGTTAATTCACCCTGTGTATGTTTCTGGACTTTGGAGTGTCAATATGATGCCATATGGACTAGGGATGGGCATGATTAGTTGATTAATCGATAATTGATCATTAAGAATTTCATCGATTACGTTAATTTTAATCGACAAACCGAATGTAGGTTTCTGTGCGTAGCCTGACCAAACGGGTCCGTACATGTGTCTCTCTGCACTCAGAACGAGTCAGTCCGAAGCACAAATGCGTATTTAACGATGACTTGTACAAGAAATTCCACGCTTTCTGTTGCGTTCAGGACAAGTGTGAGTCCATGTGCACAGTGTACAAAGCAGCAGATACGTTTCGGTGTCCAGTGGGAAAAAGTTTTACCAGGTGAGAGTCGCGTAATGTCGATGACGAGTCCCCACCTCCCTCCCCCCGTACGGTGTCCTGGTTTTGACAAACGCAAATATGTTCACACTAACCTGTATTCACCTGAGTCAAGTCTTTTAATTCCGACAGAAGTTGAACCACATCAGCGACACAAGAGCTGTAGTTTTATCTTCACTTAGTTTATGCAAATTAACAATGCTGTTTTAAGTTTCGTTTCTGTGAGAGTTGCTCAAAACTGATTTAAACACATTATAATGTCAAACAGGCTGATGTGGCTCTAGAGTCGTTACAGTTTATTTGTCGTAAAGTTGAATTTATTTATGCAGATTAGTAGTGCAGAAAGTAATAATAATGATGATCATTTTAATATAAAAACGTTAATGATTAATCGATAATCGATCGTTAATTCTTCCGACGATCGATTAAGAAAATTTCATCGAATGCCCATCCCTAATATGGACTATGAGTGTATATGGGACAGCAGAGGGGTGGGTCTCCAACCTTTAGCATAAGCCAATCGATGATAAACACGTGTTGGGACAAAACTGCTGTGTATGTTTCTGCTGAAGATACTAACTCAACAAGTTATGCTAGTATAAAGGCAACTGGTTTTTCTGTGTAAGAGAGAACGAGGGACGTCGTCTGAAGGCGTTGTCCAGGGACGACGAAGAGACGCCGTGTGGCTGAATCATGTAAAATCAACTTGAATCGGAGAGACCTGTACCTGCCTGAACTAATAAAGAGACATGTCTGAGAACTGTTTTAACTCTCCAAGACTCTTTTTTAAGATTCTCTGTTCAGGCTGGAGAAATAAGTCCAGCGGCAGAAATATCTATTAAATAGTGAGACCAATCTGAGTCCTGTTGTGATCCGTGCTCCCCGTGATTTTATGGAGATAATAACAGCTCGGAGAAGTGAGGACAGATGGAGAATTTGTCTCTGTCACAGTCCTTATTGAAGGTAAGAGTGGATTTGCCGCATGTTTTGGAGCGGACTTTTTTCACTGTTGTGTAACATGCATGAGTAACATCGTATAGTGAAGTCATGCGCGTGAGCGTACATGAGCTGCCGTGCCGTGCTGTCTCTGTGAGCCAAGTTGGATGACAGCTTCAATGAGGAGCTTCAGTAACGAGTTGTAACTGCGTGTTGGTAACGGTAACGACGTTGTAACAATAGAAAAAGTAATTAGTTAGATTACTCGTTACTGAAAAAAGTAAAGTACAGTATTTTAACGCCATTAGTAATTTAGGGGCTGCTGCTTAGACTGCCGGGACTCGGACCTGGATAAGCGGAAAAAAATGGAGGGATAGATAGTAATTAAGGGATTTTTATGATCTGCATTGTGATTAGATTTGAGATTCATGTAGAAAAAATTTTATTCTGGTAAATTCACATTTTATATTGTGGGCGCAACCTGTTTACGGGTTTGAATGACATATTGTGCTTGTGTCTGCTATACAGTTATAATTTATGCACCCATAGATCATTATGTAATAATATGGACATTTTGAATCCCAATATTCCACTACAACATCTTAATAAAAGAAACTGTGGTGCCCAATGGGAGCTGGCATTGCTGTAAATGTCATCACAACAAAGAGCCGTGTAGCTGCACATCACACTACTGAGCAGCAGAATTTTAAGAAAATAAAACTGGAGTAAAAAAAAAGAGTAAGTACAGAGCAGTGGGCGCATGCCAGTGGAGGTGAAAATGGGTTGATTGGCAAAGTGGCGATTAAAGATTGCTCAGAACAGCACAAATCACTCCAAATACAAGTCGAGAGGGTAAATGAGAAGAGGGGAACTATAACATGATTAAAAGCTTCATTTTGCAGAATAGGTCTGCTTTAATACCATGAGATATGCTTGTTTTATTTGTTTTTAGTGCAGGAGAAGTTGTGTTTACCTGTGGCTGTGCTCTCTCCCCAGGATGCGCTCGCCGGTCGGGTCCAGAGGAGAATGGGGCAGGTTTAAACAGGAGGCCAAGGACTGACTGGAGTTTTCACGGGAAACTGCACACACACAAGAACAGCAGCATAAAGATTTCAATACGAGCAGCACCAAAATGTAACACATTTTTACAGCAGGACAGAACAGCATGTGAAATATAATAATGTGTAAAGTGGATGACCAGAATAAGTCATAGGATCTGGCAACCTAAACTGAAGACCAAAAACACAAAATCTATCCACCTACATACCTATCTATCTATCTATCTATCCATCCATCTATCTATCAGGGTTGGGTATCATTAAGAAGTTGCCGATACAATACATACCTCAATACATAGGCCACGATATGATATGTTTTTCGATACAGTGCACTTTCAATTCATTATGACTTGATACGATATATTTTAAATCGATTCGATACGGTTCAGTGAAAAACAAAGGCTAAATCGTGGCTGTGATACTAAAAGTCCATAAGTCCACTAAATCTGTGCAAAGTTAATATGAAAAACACATATTTTACTTTGAAAATGGTGACACAATTGTAGCTCTTACACAAAATAATTTAGTAAAATACGTTACGTTCTAAAAATAACCCGCGATAGGTGAAATCCGCGAAGTAGTCAACTTTATATTTTACAATTATTATATCTGTTTTAAGGCTGTAAAACCCCTCAGCACAAACTTTACACACTTTTCTCAGACAGGACAGTTACAACCCTTTTTACATCCTTCTTAAAACTTATTGCTGCTGTTGTCCTTTTGTTATTTTCCTCCTTCTTTATGTAATGAACTGAAGATTAATTTATTCTGTAATGGAACCCTACAGTTCAGAGTCCTGCGTTTTTGGAGACCCACACCTGCACAGTACAGCACCGCTTCCGTCCGTTAACCCAAGATTATATCAAACTTTTGCGCTGCATAAACCTGAACCTGGACTGAACCAAGACTGAACCAAGACTGATCCAAAGACTGAACCAAGACTAAACCAGGACTAACCTAGGACTGTTTCCAGGACTGAAGATGAGGACTAAACCAGGACTGAACTAGGACTAAAACAGGACTAAATCAAAACTAAAACAGGACTCACTGTTGGGACAGACTCAGAGACCTGGTTTAGTCCTGACCTGCCCATGCGTAATTACTACCCGCCCGTAATATGCAATACGTGTTCATATGCTGTAAACAAAAAAAAAAAGCATGCAAAATTGCACCAAAAAAAATCAGCGAAACTGTGAGACCACGAAAGGTGAACCGCGATATAGCGAGGGACGACTGTACACCTAAAAATACTCTTTGCAATAATTCGATACAGCAGCCCACGATATCGACACTGTATCATCACATTATACTGTATCACACACGATATATCGATATTTCAATATTTTTGCACACCCCTACTAGTTATTAACTTTTACACACATGGAATTTTATGTAATTTATTATTTTCAATTGAGAATAACTGCAAAAAAACTGGCTACTTTCTCATGCGCACTAAAATTTGATTATTATCTGATTTCTGGACATTTAATCATTTAAATGAAATGTAAACCACAGAATCTGCACTCAGAAAATCAGATAAGAATCTGATTTGGAGAGTGCATGTAACCGCAGCCACCGAGTTTGACGGGAACATGGAAACATATCTGCGGACTCGGAGAGAAAGTCCAACTAGTGCTGTTACAACTGGGTGGTGTTGGGGGTGTTCTACGTGTATCTCTATTGACGGAATGTTCAGCAGTTACCATGGTGATGCAATCCAATCCATTTATCCATTTATTTCTATAGCACATTTCACAAATAAACAGTTTCCAAAGTGCTGCACAAATACATAATAATAACAACAATAATAAAACTATAAAATAAAATAAAATAATCATACTAGTCTTAAAATAATAAAAAAGTAAAAAAATAAATAAATAAAAATCACAAAATAGCAATAAATAAATAAAACAAATAAAAATACATTAAAAATAAATAAAAAACCTAGAGGACCACACAACTCACGCGGTGGGTAGTATTTAAGTGTTTTTAAGTGTTTTTAAGTGTTTAGTGTGTTAAGATTGTCTGAAAACTCAAGAAAAAATACAAAATGGATTTTCACAACACATTTTCAGGAGCCTGTGATCAATATAAGCTTTCAGTCATGTTCGCTTGTGACTGTAACTGTACATGTAAAAGACTTGTTTAAGCGCACAAATCATCTCCCCTGTTGCAGTTTTCCCTAAAGTAATTCTAATAGCAGTTTTTAAGTCAGTTCTTTCTGATCAAATTGTTAAAGCAAAACTCAGATCACCGTAATTTCCGGATTATTGAGCGCGCCTGAATATAAACAGCATCAACGAAATTTTAAAAGGGAAAAAAAAGTGTACATATATAGGCTGCACTTGTCTATAAGCCGCAGGTGTCAGAAATACTTTTTTATTAAATACCAGTACATGTTTTTCTGAACAGTGCCTGTAACACGGCAGTAAAACAATTAGTATTATGACAAGATTATCAGACTATGTCACTTGACGCATGTCTCCTGCAGAAAGAGCCGCTGTCCTGTCTGGTATCATGTCGGTGTCTTGTAGGATTTCAGCAGATTTCAGACTCTCGAAGGGTGGCGGGGATACTTGTATCGATCAGGTATGAGCGGATGTCCGGCTACTGAAGTTTGATATGTTTCTTTGCACTATAGAGAATGGGGGCGGGTGGGGGCTGTTTTTAAAGACTGAATTTGACATACAATATTTTAAACTATTTATTCTTATTGTTATTTATGCTGCTGTTGACCTGGACCTGAGTGCGGTGTTTTGTTTGTGTGTGTTTTTATACTGAAATTACAAATAAATTCTGATTCTCGTCATTTACGCACTCACCTGCATTTAACACATACGAGTTATTAAGACAAATCCCACTCACCAGTGTTCATCATAATGTATTTTATCAGATGGCAATGAACAGTTTTAGTGCTCTGACAACAGCGCTAACTAGTGTTGTAACTTCATGTTGCCCGGCACATTCTGCACACAGGCTGTGCACATCTAGCCAGGCTGGTGCGGCTCAATTTCATTTCTCTCCAGCAACTAGGTCAGGAATCGAAATACAATAAACGGTTCGCAAAAACCCCGGATGTGCAAGTTCAGGCACCAACCAATCAGTAAAGTGTGGCATATTCAGTGTTGTCAACGATTCCCGAGATCGAGGATTTAAAGCCGGAACAAAGAGAATGTTTGGTGAATTTCATCAAGGGGAAAGACGTTATTGCCCTTCTTCCTACGGGATTTAGGAAAAGCTTAATATACCAGCAGCGCATTACATATGTCACAACCAAATAGCAGCGATTGGTTAAATGATAAAAAGTACCCGCCTACCGTCGAGCGAACGAAATCTAAGGCTGCGAGGTCAGACGGTTTGTACGAACTGAAACAAAGTAAAACCGGCTGATGAATCAAGCTGTGCACATCCACTGTGTTGATAAACAAATAATCCATCCATATACTGTATTAGCTGGATCATTGTTTAAGTCGCTGGGATCAAAGTGTGTGAAAAAAGTTACATCTTATAGTCTGGAAATTACAGTAAGTCCAATTTAATAGAGTAGTGCTTTCAGTTAGAATCACAACCCCAGAAAATGTTGATGATATGAGCAAAGTATCAATATTACAATTTCTATTTCACTACTAAGGAAAAGGCTTGATGCAGGTTTTCTTCCCACTGTAATAATAAAAAAATTAACAGAATTTTCAACAAAACTTAATATAATTTGATTCTTTTCTCTTGTACATTACCTAAGATCTTATCCTAGTTCTGTTATAGACCCAGAGCGCTAAAAACTGCTCCGGAAAGATCCAACTTTGTGGTTCAGAGTGTGTCCGGGTGAGACGTATCAGAGCTTTGACATTTCCTCAAACGTGTGTAAAGGTCCCAGTGTCTGTCGGTGTCCTGTCTGCTCCTCTGTGCACAGACATGAGTCACAGATCAGAGCAGCACCATCACACAGAGCCCCGTGAGACTATAGTGCTGATGACAGGGTTAGTCATAGTTTAACGGAGCCATTTAAAGAGAAAACAAGTCATTTTCTATGGCCTTTTGCTTTGATATCTTCTAATGTTTTCAAGTTTGTTTCATCTTTCATTATGTTTTCGTTTTAAAGGTTCTACATTACACAAAACCGACTTGTGACCTTTAAGCCTCATCATAAACATACCTCGAGTTGTGTTTTGTTTCATTCACACGTTTGATTGTTAATGATTTATTATTGGTCTGTCTAAATCTTCCAACTTCAAAAATGCTCTTTTTCACCTTGGGATATCATGAAGTAGTTTTCAAGTTAAAGGGACAGTCCGGGGTTTTGGACATAGGACCTAATTTCCTAGTGATCCAGAGTGTTGGAGACGTGTGGAGACACTTTTTTAAATATTCCATCCGGTCCTTGTGCATGTCAACGGCCATAGTCTTACCCACTCCACAAAACACCCGAAACAAATCTATTATTACACCAGACTGTCGATGTAAATGTCTGTGTAGATAGAATAATGTTTGAAATAAAACTAATCTTGCATCGCATGAATCGTCGCATGTTGAGGGACTATTTTCTCATATATCAGTCCGCCGCTGCCGAATTTTCTATCAGGAAGTACAACTCACTACTGCTGCTCAGACAGACCGAGACTGAGCCCGGGACCACACCAGGACCAGACCGAGACCACACCAGGACCAGACCGGGACTGAGCCCGGGACCACACCAGGACCAGACCGGGACCACACCAGGACCAGACCGAGACTGAGACCGGGACCAGACCGGGACCAGACCGAGACTGAGACCGGGACCAGACCAAGACTGAGACCGGGACTGAGACCGGGACCAGACCAAGAATGAGACCGGGACTGAGACCGAGAATGAGACCGGGACCAGGCTGGGACTGAGACCAGGACAGAGACCGGGACCACACCAGGACCAGATCGGGACTGAGACCGGGACCAGACCGGGACCAGACCAAGACTGAGATTGGGACCAGACCGAGACTGAGACCGGGACCAGACCGAGACTGAGACCGGGACCAGACCGAGACTAG